TGATGAACCAGTTTTTAATTAGTCATGCCTATCTCTCAACCGATCTTGAAAGGTAGATGTAAAATCTCACTGTTCTGCGGGAATATCAAATTTGTGATATAAAACATCTCCTTTATGAAGGACTAAAACCAAGCTTTCAAACCAGTAGCTCATTCTTAAATTCACACTTCCATTTTATTTTATTTCCATCAAATTCATAATTATCTATGTAAAGCATAAAGATGGGTGTCCTTAGTAATCAGCCTAGCTGTAATATCTTCAATATTGTGAAACCTTTTGTTCCTGCTCTTCTTACACTGCCATCTCTGTGTCTATATCCCTCCTGTACTAGAAGACTTCTGTATTCAAAACCTGGTTCAAATGGTTCAAATGTCACCTCCTCTGAAATACTATATTATTGATGCTCTTTACGTTTTGAGAGAAGATATATTTTATACTATTCTCAGCAACATTAGTTTGTGGCCAACTTATATGTAGGATTCAGAATGTCATTTATTTAGCTGTATAGTCATCCTAAATCTTTGTGCTTTCACATAGAAAATGTAAGATTGATGAGTAGATTTATTACCCTTTATATAATCAAATAACAATTTTTATGTATTTTCTTATGTATCAATTTCTATGAGTCCCACTCTTAGTAAATTCTGGGGAGTTCATATGCCCAATAAAATAAAAGAATGGTACTGATTCTTAAGTGATATGTATTTGAGGGATGAGATATTCACATTTCATTCTTTCTTCCATTATAGTTACATACGATAACTGAGCCCTGGTTATATATAGAATAAGTAACTTAAAACTTGGTTTTCCTGGTTTATTTGTTAGCATTTGACTAGAAGATAACACAAGTATGAGTAATACCAAAGAGGGAATTTATTCTAGGGATGGAATTGCAAAAATGTAGAAGTATTTAAAGAATTCTGGGGAAGACTTGTACCACTGTGTCTGCTGGTGAACCTAAAATTATCATTGGTCAGTATGGCTGACAGGCAGGAAAAAGTTTGACCTGAAGATTGAAGGTGGAAGAAAGCAAAGCAAAGTGGAAGCAGGAGGAACAAACAGAGTCCCTGAACTTATATAGAATAAGAGGCTCAGTTATGTGTATTGGAGGCAGTAAAAGACATGCATGTATGAAAGTGGAAAAGTGGGGCCTTCTGGAAGAAGTTGTCAGCACCTGTCCTCATGAGCTGAGTACGTGCCTGATGCATGATTTGGGGGAAGTGAAGGTGAGAGGGTTGATGGGAGGTTGAGTAGCTGCAGACCTAGAAGGGTGAGCCAATGTTTTGGTCACTTGTTTGGGTTCTGGTGGAGCTCAGAGCATTCTGTACCTTCAAAATAGAATGCCTCATGTGTTGTTTGCACCTTCAAACTTGAAATGAATTTCTATTGTGTTGAACCCTAAGCCAGAAACAGAGGAAAAGGCATCCTGGAAATAATGTTTGGGCATAGCTAAGTTGACAGGAGAGAGTCACTTCAATTGGGTCCTTTTCTTTCGAACCTCATTAAAACTTATGCAGCTTAAACTATGTGACATATCTTGGGTTGCTATTTGCATTGTTAAGTAAATTTTTCAAAATAAATAGAGTTGTGAAAGCAATGCTTTTAAAAGCATATTTAATTTGACTTGAGTTATAATTCTTCTGTTAACCACCTTATCTTAACAAGCTAAAAAGAAAAAAGATTTTTCTTATATCAAGGCTCTAATATTTTCTCATTTATCAATTTTTCTGTCTGTTAGGAGTCTTATGCAATGTGAACACATTAAGCAGATTAACTTCATAAAAATAATTGCCTGTTCAAAATTACGTGATGGGTTTGAATATACGAGTTTGTTTAGGGTTTAGTGCCATTTTAAATGTGGCATAAATTCCATCCCTATGTTTTCTAATACCAGACATGCAAAAGCACAATTTATATTTATGTGGCCAAATACAAATTACATGTGGTTTTAATAAAGATACTATATTATTTATAATAAAGCAAACAGTATAATCTGATAATGACTTTCTCTTACAAATTGCTGGTATAAAATGTAATTTTGCATAGAAAATCCAGCTGTGCGATCTTTTGTTCCCATTCTGAGAATCTTTTGTTTTGTTATCATTTTAAGTGAATTACTAAGCTTAATCATTTAAGAATGACTTTGTTTTAAAATCAAGTCATGAAATGAAATTAAATATCTCTCAATATTATACATTAGAAACAGCTTTTTATAATTAGAGAGATCAGTTAATTGGCATATTTATTTCCACTTGGGTATGATAATTAAGATAATTTTCATTTATTAATACAAGACATTTCATGGGAGTGTGAAATCTACTGATTATCTCAAAAAAGAAAATCAAAATTTTCATTCCTTCTGTAGCCTGTAGAAACAACAACAAAAACAAACTCAAAGTCCTCTATGTCCACATGCATAAAAATATCTTTTCCTAAGTTTACTTGTTTGATATATTAAACTAAACTGGCCATAGACTCCCCAATAGATAAAAACATGCCAGGTTCAGATAATTGAGGTAAAAACCTTAATTTCATGTCAATTATTGTTTTAAATATGTGTATGTATGTATGCACATATGTTTGTTTGCATCAGTAATATGTAATATACTTTATTTCTTCCACAATGCTGCAATGGTAGAGTGAGAGATGACATTTTTCAAAGATGGCTAACAACATATTTCCCATCACACAATCTTCTTTCAATGCAACTTATATATCATAAAGTGGACTCTGTTTCTTCCTTACAGATCTGGATCAGTTTACAACAGTGGCAAAAGTAATGTTATGTAGGTTTCAAACTTTGTTGACCAAATGATTTCCATTTGAGGTATCAGTTACTTTTGAGGTATCAGTTCTTGGAAGTAAGTCATTATGCTGTGTGTAAATCTAGGTAAAGTGTGGTTTACCAGGGTGAATATGGAAAGGAAATGAGATTCCCTACCTCAAAACACACAAACACACACACACACACACACACACACACACACACACTCACACACACCCTACACACAGAGCTCTGGCTGAGTTCCTAGGCTGTAGCCAGTACCAATTCACCAGCTATTTTAGCAAACCATCATTAACAGTGGATAAAATCGTCCCTCAAAAGAAGTCACATAGAAAGAGATGAACCAACTTTACCATGTCTAAATTTAGATTGCTCAAGAAAATAAGGGATTGTTTTGTCTTATATCAGAAAATTTAGGTAATAAAATTCAACAAAGTTTCTACCTGAACAATTGGAACATTGACCTTTGGAATGCTGAGTGCTTCCACGCTATCAAGATGCTCAGGCCACGTAGACAGGCCTTGTGTAGGAGGTACAGAGATTGTCAGCTGGCTGACAGTCACAGCTGAGTGAGATACCCAGTGAGGACCAACATCTACCAGGCCTCATCTAGACTACCTTGTTCCAGCTGGTTAACACTTATCCATCTGTGAACATTTTTTGCTGAATTCTTAGCATTAAAAGAAGAGAAAACAAAACAAAATGAAAAACACTCCCTCTGTTCCTTTTCTGAATGGGGTTTTCCCAGAGTCTGTGAGCATGAAAAAAATGCTTGTTTTCAGTCACTAACTTTTGGGTTATTTGTTACACATAAACAGATTGACAGCCAAAATTGAGTGTGGTACCAGGAATGGTATTTTTCAGTGGTATAGATTGTTAGGGCATTGAGGAAACCATTAGTAACAGGTAAAAAGCATCAAAAAGGGTATTCATAAAACCTAAGGTACTTGGAAATGCTAGAGATGCTGGTTTAAAGAAAAGTTGGAAAAATATTATTGGTAGTTAGAGGAAAAGTAACTCCTTCTGTGCCTTTGTAAAACTAACAACTATGTCAGTAGAAATAAGGAATATATTATAGAACTTAATGATATAACTAAGGAGATTCCCAAGCAAAGTTTTGTGTGTACAGTATGTGATTTTCTAGTTGCCAAGTATAAAATGAGCGGGGAGAAATTCGGTATAAATATAAATGGTCCCAGATTTGCTGAGTTTGCAAATAAAATTTTCTCTCATTTTTTAGGTCCCCCAGAAGACTCCTAAGGTAAGAAATAGGCCGAGGTTATAGATTGACTCCAGATTATTCTAAGGAAATATTTTATGGTGAAGATGAAAATAAGGGTACAAATTTAAAACTACTTGTTAAGGCCTTTAAAAGACCTCATAAACCCTCTAACACACCCAAAAGACTTTGAGAGAATCTTCAAGACATGGTCCCTGGCCATCTCTGGTAAGAAAAAAAAGGGGGGAGGGGGATGTTTCTAAAATCTTCATAGGTTTGTTCCAGTAGAAGAAAAGGAAAGGAACCCTGGTGAAAAAACTTTGTGGATGTGGCTTTTCTTTATTGGATTAAATTATAAATGGATACACAGGAAGTTTATAAGCATTTAAAGAGAAATCATATCCGTTTGAATTTAAAGCAAGAGACAGGATATAAAACAAAGGGAATGTTTCACACTACTTTAAGATAAACAGGAAGAAACAGGTAGCGAAATCTATTTTGATACAAATATTCCCTCAGAGAGCCAAACCAAGAGCTCAGAGTTTGCAGCCTGGACCCCCTCCTTGAACTCCTAGGCAGAAGGACTTTTCCTTAAACAATGTTCTGGTAACACGTCCATGAGTGTATCTGAAATTCTATGGACCAATAACTATAGAGTACCTATTTTTGAGTGGGTGCATGTATTTTATTCCCATACCATCATTGTATGCTACCTGTGGGAAGGAGCCAGATAAATTCTCTCTTTAGGTCACAAATTTTCAGACAGAAATTGATTTCAAGAGACTTTATATAAGGTATGAGACCTGAGAAGCCTCATCTGTTAACTGAACCTGATTTGGTTCTTAGACTTTTATGAACTAATGTCATAATAGGATAAAGCCTAGGAGCTGTGGGATCAGGCACTGCTTTATTTTGTACATGATTTTTTAGCTAGAAGGCAAACTTGCATATTATATTTTTGAAAGACAGACACAATAATATCTCAGGTACCCTATGTTCTTATGATGTGATTTCATACCTCTCTCATTGAAAGTTGAGGTCTATGTTCCACTTCTTTGAATTCAGGGAGACACATTATTATGGCAATAGCAAGAGAATGATACATGTGCAAGGAGTAGGTTATAGAAGGCAATATGGCTTCCATCTGATTACTTTAGAATCCTTTCCTTTATAGCTTTGAGCAACTTATGAAACATGTCCCAGACCACCATGTTGTAAAGAAACCAATGCCATATGGAGAGTTTCTATGTACATGTTTGGAAAACAACTGGAATTGAGATGAACACCTTTTGCATCACTAAATTTAACTGACTTGTATTTATAATAATAACTAATATGTTAATATTTTCATGTCATATTCATTACACTTATTTTTCTCATTGTAAGAGATAAATTATTCCTTTGTTAATTTGAAAATATTATTTGTATTTTTAGTTAAATCATGACTAATAATTTATTTAAAAATTATTTGGATCCCATTGCAGTGTTTTATTCATTGATTCTATATTTTTTATTTTAAACCAGACTGCACAGAACTTTAAGATTCTCTTGTCCCTCTATCGTACCATATTGATGTCTATATTTAGACTATAATGCCATAGATATAATTTCCATTTTTTATATTTTTTATCCATGCTGTTTTCAGATGACAATAACCTTTATTAAATTGACATTCATCTTTATTTTATATATTTCCTTTAGCATTTTTCTCAGTTCATCATACACATTCATTAGGAATATATGTCAATAAAAAATTTTTATGTGATAAGTTCTTTGGGTATCTTTCATTACATCTTCATTTTAAATCTAAGTGCCAAAAATAGTAGTATCATATGATTCTTTATTTCTTATATTATGAAATTATCATGCCATTCTCTTCTAGCAATTATTGTTTTTATTATTTTTATTTATATATGACAGCAGAATGCATTACAATTCTTATTATACATACAGAGTACAATTTTTCACATCTCTGATTGTAAACAAAGTATATTCACACCAATTCGTATCTTCATACATGCACTTTGGACAATAATGATCATCACATTCCACCATCATTTATAACTCCATGCCCACTCCCTTCCTCTCCAACCCCTCTCCCCTATCTAGAGCTCACCCACTCCTCTCATGCTTCCTCTCCATATCCCACTATGAATCAGCTTCCTTATATCAAAGAAAACATTCCACATTTGGTTTTTTGGGATTGGCTAACTTCACTTAGTATTATCTTCTCTAACTCCATCCATTTACCTGCAAATGCCATGATTTTATTCTCTTTTATTGCTGAGTAATATTCCATTGTGTATATATGCCACATTTTTAATCCATTCAACTATTGAAGGGCATCTAGGTTGGTTCCACAGTTTAGTTATTGTGAATTGTGCTGCTATAAACATTGATGTGTCTGTGTTCCTGTAGTATGCTATTTTTAAGTCCTTTGGGTATAGACTGAGGAAAGGGATAACTGGATAAAATGGTGGTTCCATTCCCAATTTTCCTAGAAATTGCCATACTGTAGTATAGTTTAAGTTTCCATATTGGCTGCACCAATTTGCAGTCCCACCAGTAGTGTATGAGTGTACCTTTTTTTCCTACATCCTCACCAACACTTACTGTTTTTTGTCTTCATAATAGCTGCCATTCTGTTCTGACTAGAATAAGATGAAATCTTAGAGTGGTTTTGATTAACATCTCTCTAATTGCTAGTGATGATGAACACTTTTTCATATGTTTGTTGATTGATTGCATATCTTCTGAGAAGTGTCTGTTCAGGTCCTCAGCCCATTTATTGATTGGGTTATTTTTTATTTATTTATTTTTTTGATGCTTAGGCTTTTGAGTTCTTTATATACCCTGGAGATTTCTTTTATATACCCTAGGTTTCTTTGCTGAGAAGAAACTTTTTAGTTTGAGTCCATCCCATATATTGATTCTTGATTTTAATTCTTGCACCACAGGAGTCCTATTAATGAAGTTGGAACCTAATCCCACATGATGGAGATTAGGGTCTACTTTTTCTTCTATTAGACACACGGTCTCTGGTTGTATTCCTAGGTCCTTGATCCATTTTGAGTTGAGTTTTGTGCATGGTGAGAGATAGGGTTTCAATCTCATTTTGTTGCATATGGAATTCCAGTTTTCCCAGCATCATTTGTTGAAGAGGCTATCTTTTATCCAGTGCATGTTTTTGGCACCTTTGTCTAATATAAGATAATTTTAATTTTGTGGGTTTGTGTCTGTGTTCTCTATTCTATACTATTGGTCTACCAATCAGTTTTGGTGCCAATACCATGCTGTTTTTTTTACTATTTCTCTATAGTATAGTTTAAGTTATGGTATAGTGATTCCACCTCTTCCTGCTAAGGATTGCTTTAGCTATTCTGGGTCTCTTATTTTTCCAGATGAATTTCATAATTGCTTTTTCTATTTTTATTAGAAATGACATTGAGATTTTGATTGGAAATGCATTAAATCTGTATAGTGCTTTTGGAAGTATGGTCATTTTAATAATATTAATTCTGCCTATCCAAGAGTATGGTAGATCTTTTTATCTTCTAATGTCTTCTTTGACTTATTTATTTAGAGTTTTGTAGTTTTCATTATATAGATCTTTCAACTCTTTTGTTAAGTTGATTCCCAAGTATTTTATTTTATTTTATTTTTTGAGGCTATTTTAAATAGGGTAGTTTTTCTCATTTTCTTTTCAGAGGATTTGTCACTGATATACAGAAATGCCTTTGACTTATGGGTGTGGATTTTATATCCTGTTACTTTGTTGAACTCATTTACTAGTTCTAGAAGTTTTCTGGTGAAACTTTTAGGGTTTCAGCAAATAGTGCCAATTCAAGTTCTTCTTTTCCTATGTGTATCCCTTTAATTTCATTCCTCTGTCTAATTGTTCTGGCCAGTGTTTCAAGAGCAATGCTAAATAGAAGTAGTAAAAGAGGGCATCCCTGTCTTGTTGAAACAAGTTTTTAGAGAGAATGACTTCAAATTTTCTCCATTTAGAATGATGTTGGCCTGGGGCTTAGCATAGATAGCCTTTATGAGGTTGAGATATGTTCCTGTTATCTCTGGTTTTTCTAGTGTTTTGAACACGAAGGGGTGCTGTATTGTGTCAAATGCTTTTCCTGCACCTATGAGATGATCATATGATTCTTAAATTTAACTCTATTGATGTGATGAATTACATTTATTGATTTCCGTATGTTGAACTAATCTTGCATCCCTGGATGAATCCCACTTGATTGTGGTGCATGATCTTTCTGATATGCTTTTGTATTCAATTTGCCAGAATTTTATTGAGAATTTTTACATCTATATTCATTAGAGATATTGGTCTGAAGTTTTTTTTTTTTTTAATGTGTCTTTGCCTGGTTTTGGAATCAGTGATATTGGCCTCATAAAATGAGTTTGGAAGTGCTGCCTCTTTTTCTTATTTCCTTAAATAAATTGAAGAGTATTGGTATTAGTTCTTCTGTAAATGTCTTGTAGAACTTGAAATTGTATCTGTCTGGTCCTGGTTAGTAGACTTTTGAGGGTGTCTGCTATTTTGTCACTTGAAATTGACCTGTTGAAATTGAGTATATTATCCTGATTCAATTTGGGCAAATTTTATGACTCTAGGAATTTGTCAATGCTTTGATATTTTCTATTTTATTGGAGTACAGGTTTTCAAAATAATTTCTAATTATCTTCTGTATTTCTATAGTGTCTGTTGTGATATTTCCTTTTTCATCATGTATGTTAGTGATTTGAGTTTTCTCTCTCCTTCTCTTCATTAGCATGGCTAAGAGTCTGTCAATTTTATTTATTTTTTCAAAGAATCAACTATTTTTTCTGTTAATTTTTTCAATTGTTTCTTTTGTTTTGATTTCATTGATTTCAATTCTGATTTTAATTATTTCCTGTCTTCTGCTGCTTTTGGTGTTGATTTTTTTCTTCTTTTTTCTAGGGCTTTGAGATGTAGTGTTAAGTCATTTATTTGTTGACTTTTTCTTCTTTTAAGGAATGAACTCCATGCAATGAACTTTCCTTTTAAAACTGTTTTCATAGTGTCCCAGAGATTTTGATATATTGAATATGTGTTCCCATTCAGTTCTGAAAACTTTTTAATTT